TTTTCTCTACAATGACCTCAAGCTGAATGTAAAATTATCCAGAATATTAATATAATATATTTTCCTTGATCTTTAAGACATATGTTTCTTAAGAGTTCTTGGGTTCTTGGAGTCCATGCATTTAAATCAGCCTCATAATCACCAGCACAAATAAGCTGGCAGGATTCCCTAACCTTTCCTAATAGTCCATGTTTAATTCTGTCAAAATGTGACTCCAGCTAAATAATGTTCACCTGACAGACCGGGGATCAAAGTGGAGGTGGCCACCGGGGGATGGGGGAGGAGCATGGACACTCGGTTCCTCCCCTTCCCTGCTTATTTGCCTTGTGGTGTTTGATGTGTCAGTTAGTATGGACACCCACTAATGAGCAGATGGGATCATCTGATCTGCCATCAAAGGCTCGCAGCAAACGCGGCCATGATGGCTTGGGGTGCAGGTCTTTTACCAAGACAACTGCTAATTAGCAGTATGCCGGCTGTAGAACTGCTCCAGGAACTGTTGCTCAAAGGGTTGGAGATGGTACACAGAAACGTCCTTCAGACTCGTTTGTAGTATAGGTCACCAGATACTAATGGCTACAACTGGAGCTGCAGCATTTCAGCACTCTGATGGTGACACCATAATATTTACAAAATATCATGGAAATTAAATGTTAAATATGTTTTTAATTTGAAAAGATATAATTTGAAGAATTTTAGATAAAATTTATGTTTATTTGGGGAACACTTGTTGTTGGTATATTTTTGGCATTATTTAGTATAATATAAAAAAAAAAATCCATCCCCTGAAACAAAACTATTTGAGGAAAATTAAACTAAAGAAGTTATTTTAAAAAAAGAATCATCATTCACAAGACATGATGTATGTTCTAGGAAATAATGTGCTTTGAAATCCCCCAAAATTGTTAAGCTCATTCATCCAGTATGGTTAGAATATCTGAAGCTGAAACCGACCCATCATTAATTTGGTCATTCCTCATGATAAACTGTCTAGAAATCCTTCAGCTGAGCTAAAAATGAATGCAAGTGATTGCACACTATTGAAACGTATATCAGTGGAGGTCCATGTACTCCAGTAAGCTGACTTGATTGGTAGGGGGAGATTTGCACCAAGAGGCCTCGTACATTGTTTGAGACTGCACTGGAGGCAAGGTACACAGATAGCAACCTCTACTGGTGCCTACAGATGTACACGAGGGTGACAGGATGGTAATGATTCTATGTTCAACAAGCTCTGTGGTACATGAATATTTATAGACTAATGCTTAGTCTCTGAATATGTATAATTTTGATAGTAACAAATAAACCCGTTTAAGCTGAAAAGGATCCCCAGTTAGATGGGAAATTCAGAACCAGTAAGATTAACCTGAGGGAATTGGGACTGGGAAGGTGGGGTAGCCTAGTGGTTAAAGCGTTTGCTCGTCGCGCCGAAGACTCGGGTTCGATTCCCCACATGGGTACAATGTGTGAAGCCCATTTCTGGTGTCCCCCGCCTAATATTGCTGGAATATTGCTAAAAGCGGCTTAAAACCAAACTCACTCACTGATTTGGGACTTTTACCATTGCAAGGAGGGCTAGGCAGTAGGGAAAATAATGTGGTTCAGGGACTGTGAGACAGACTTGAATATTTACTACAGCAGTCCTTACTGAGACAGTCAACTGCACTGATTATTTCTCTGTTGTGTATTTGTATAAGATAACTGTATTTGTATTTGTATTTTACCAAAGTACATTTCATATAAATGTTAAGTAATGCTTATATATACAGAGGTCAGTATCAGTAAGTAAGTGAATACAGTTTTTCGTCAGCTTTTGGCAACATTCCAGCAATATTACGTCAAGGGACACCAGAAATGTCACACAATGTACCCATCTGGGGAATGGAACTCAGTTCTTTGGCATGATGAGTGAACACTTTAACCGCTAGGCTAGCCCACTAGTGGACCCTATATCTGAAAGAAAATGCAAGAGCAGGTGGAAGATTTTATTGTCAATATGTCTGGTTGAGTAAATAATTTCAGTCTGGTATAATATACTTATTCTAAATCAATATTTTAAATATTCTTGATTATATGGTTGTGACATTTTTGTGAAGAATGGTCTTGAAAAAGAAAGGAGAAACAATTCTTGAGGTTTCAAAAGGGCATTATAGAATTTTTGTAGACCTTTATTAACTTTTGCAAATCTAAGGTCGGCATGGTTGTACAAGGAAAACGATACGACAGACTTAAGCAGGTTCAAAGGGCACACATATTCAGGACTTTAGAGTATATTGCACTTAGTAAGAGCATTGGCTTGCACCCAGTGACCCATGGATCAGTTTAACAATACAGCCCTGTCCAACGTCCTCATGTTTTAACAATATACAGTGATTCTGCTGCACACAACAGAAGTATTTGTGTCAATAGTTAATTAATTTCAAGGTGATTTTCAGTAGAAAATTCAGTAGGGGCATTTTGGGCGTATGTATGTGTTCCTTGAATTTATGCAATATCATAAAGGTTATTTTCAGTTTCAGTTCCTTGTTTAACCAACAACATGTTTATAAAAAACCCAATGTTTTGTCCTGTTTACAAATAATCTTATCTGTGTTCAGTAATGATTTCCAGACTTTACAACTGGTTTAATCTTCCATGATTCTTAAGCAGCAGTGATGTAGCTAAGTGGTTAAACCCCTCTATGGTCAGTCACATGTCAGGCTCGGGTTCAACTAAACCACATAAGTACAATTTGTGAAGCCCATTTGTGGTAGCTCCTGACATGATACTGCTGAAAAACATGCTCACTCACTCACTCACTGACAAATCTGTCGTAAGATCATTTCTTCTGCTTCAAACGTTTTTACCCCAACAACGATGCTGTCAGTGAAAATATTTATGTTCCCTTTTGTCAATTTTGAATTCCTTGCAGTACACTACCGTGACAAGAGTGAAAATAGAAATAGAATAATGGAAAAAATAGAAAATAGGATCCTGTCACCTCTTGATGTTAGAGTCCATGCCTCATCTACCTGCATTGAACTCTCCTGGCACTTTTACCAGACATATTGCTCCTAGTGTGATGTTATTGGCTGACATGAAAGCCCCTGCCATAATGTAATCCTTCACTCATGAGTAATACTTATTGTTGTATGGAATATAGCACTACTGGAAGATTCTTGAAGGGGGTCATGCCAAAACAAATTCTGTACAATTTGATGACAAATTTAGAGATGACAGTTATGATTTTGGAACTTACATTTGATCAAAATTAGATTATTATTTTCGAATCTTTGATTATAGAGAATGTGGTATTTATTCAAATTCCTGTATATATTCTAATGTTTCATTAATATCATGCAGTCTTTACAACACATTCCTAGGGGGATTATTGTTTGACAGGCCCCCTGACAGAGTTCACATATAAGGTCAGTCTTTCTTAGATTCCATAGGCTTTGCAGAGTTTCTAAGGGTTTATTATTCATATAATCCTCTTATTGTCTACATTGTAAGTGTGTTGGGTTCCCTTCAGTGTTACACAGGTATTATACCCCTCACACAGACAACACACATTCGTGTATATACATTTCCTTGTGATAAGAATGCTTAGTTTTCTGTGATATGAATTTCATACTTGTCAAGGACATTTTGAATATGTTACTCCATTACGCCAGATTTGAAATTAACATTCTATCATGAGAATGTTGTGATTTATGAAACAGTTTAGAGTTTTAAATGTATTGATTATGTTTTTAATTTGTACCTTTCTTTATTTGGTAATAAATTAAGACAAACACATGAACTACATGAAGTACAATGTTTCCTATTATGTATGTTTTTGTGGAAAGGATTTTGTACCTGTATTGCTATATCATCCATTTTACTTCTATGCTACTGACATTGGTGTGTTGCCAAATATGTGACAATAATGTGATTAGCATAGTTGTGTGTATATATATAGACAGATATATATATATACCAATCTGCTGTGTAATTGACCTCCTTCCTTCCCCATTTATCAGAAACCTTTAAATGTCAATGCCAGCGTCTCTGGGTCAACATCATTCCTTATCTTGTCTTGAATTTACACACTTGGAAAGCGAAAGAAACAGGCACAAAGGTCCGCAACCTTGACAAATTGCGCAAGGAAAATCTGCAGTTATGGTGATTCTGATTGGCACAATCACCATGTGCCTTGGGTGGCTGTCGACTGGCAGCAAAGATTACTGTGTCATGGCTTCCGGGGGAGGTGATACCTTGAATCTGGTGTCTGGAGACTGGTCGCCCCTGTGGCTGTAGTGTTTATCATTGCATGCCCTGACAGCTAGGGGTTCTTCAGCCTGGAGACTTCAATACTCTTGTCATCTGCTCAGTAACAGCAGATGGTCAACAGGCATGCACCAGACGACACAGTATTTCTCACGCGACACTTGAAGGACGTCTCTGTTGTCAGTGTCAGAAGAACAAATTGATGACTTTGACTTGTTTTTTAATGAAAAGTGGAGTTAATAATCATTTCAAAGGCTTCAGGGATATTACCACTGGGATTAATATGAAGAAGTAGTGTTTTTTGGGGCTCTCAGCTCAGAGTTGCAACTTTTTTGTAAGAATTGGATCAGGCGTGATTACCACTTGTTGCTAGCACTGCTGCTCTACTGAGGTTACTTCATGAAGAACAGTCAAGATTGACCCCAAATGGATTCCTTCATTTCTAATGAACCTGAGCTAACAACATGCCGTAGGCACTCTCAACTTATTGACAAGTTTTTTATTTGTTTTAAAAGGTAGTGTGCAATAATCGTTTCCTTGCAGCATTGGCATGTGAAATATTTTAGATTCAATTTAGCACATAATGTTGTCATTATTTAAATGTTAAGTGTTCCTTAGAAATGGCCACATACCAATGGGCCTATTAAATGGACATGAATATTTTCCGATGATTTGCATTTCAGACAACGTGTACCATATATTTTGTGTCTATATTTCATGAGAATTATCTATGTTTCCTTCCTTCTTTTAAGATTGGAAAGTTCGGGAAGTTTTTACAAATTAGCCCGTCGTCTAAGTCAGAAAGATCGGAAGGACGCAGACTCACATTCTCGACAGCGTTCGGTCAGCCTTGATTGGTGAGACTTGCATCCTGTTTGATGGAAATGTGTTGTTTTGATTGGTCATCCCATGCATGCTGGATTTCATTTTCCCTCACTTCACTAGCATGTATATACTTCACGCTGTACCTTTGGGTTTTTCATGTTCCTTGTTTTTCCATTTTGTTCTCATTGTGTTTTACTATAAGCATTACAATCATTCAGTTACTGTTTGTGATACATCTTGCATGTTTGTTGTAAGAAATAATGATTTTGTGTTCAGTTTTCACATACTGTCAAGTATTGGCATGGGATCCCTACTACTTTTTCAGTATCATTTAAGACAAATCCCTCCTTCAACATGTCAACACCAAACTTAAAGAACAGTTATGCTGTGATAATGGATGTTTCACTAACACTGGGGTGGTTGGGAAGGCCAGTTGTCAAGACCAATAACAAGACAGTTTTGAAGAAACGATACACTGTAAAACATTAACCATCACTTTTGCCATGCGTTTATACATGCATAAACAATCTGCCTACTGAACCGACATTCCCCTCAATGGCAGTTTTGCTGTTAACAACCGTAACAGACATAATTGAGTCCAAATCAAAATGTCCATGACCCTACCTGTGTGATCGTATATTGCTCTGAACAGCTGTACCTGCTATGTGAACTCTTTATGAGTTGTTCAGTATTTCATTTCAGTGTACCACTCATGCATCATTTAACATTTAACACACCATTCAGAGATCGGTGACCCATACTGGTTTAATCTACTTTCAATGGAGTTAAGCTAGGAGTACCACAGGGCTGTGTAATTACTCCAACCCTTTTAATAGTGAACTCAATCAAAATCTATCATATGGCTATTTACAGTCACCAGCCTTCCATTAGGCCAGTACTGTTCCAGACCTGTTACAATGGTTATCCAGTTGTATGTATTAAATATTTAGTACCGCTCTGTTAGCCACTGTCTTAAATATTGAGTCTAATATGCTCATTCATGAGGCAATGCTGCCCAGACAATGGGCTCAATTTAAGATATTTATGACCGTGAGCCCCCCTGGTACTGGAGTATGGTTACTTATCACCACGTTACCCTGTGGTATACGGGACTATGTGTTTGCTATGTTATTGATATGAGCAATACCTGCCTCATGTGAGACAATATGCGTCTTGGGACTATGCAAATATTGTCTGTCCTTGGCTACCCTCAGTTAAAACCAGATTGTGATGGCATCAAGATGTACATAGATTCGGAAATTATGTTACGAAGTATGGCCAAAATGTATACCCCACGGCGGTTGTTGCCATGTTTGTCAGATAGCTATAAGGAGGATGTAAAATCGAGTGATGAGGACGATGAGGACACAGATGATGATTTTGACTTTGAAGAAATGTGAGTTCCATGACAACTTTCAGAAAATGTTCATCAATGTACCAGAAAGTTTTACAGTATTACTTTGATATTTCAGCAGTATATGACATTGTGACAGTAGGTTCATATGACGTATAGTACAGTCTGTATTTACCTGCGTTAGTTTAAAATTTAGAATTATGTTTATGGCAGCTTGTCCTCAACATTGAAATATTACATTCAATGAGCAGTGATATTCAATATGTGAAATGGTAAGATTTTGGTTAAAATTATGTTGTAATATGGTTTTCATGTGTGTTGTGTTGTTTACTGTGTAGTTACTCATGCATGGAGGGATGTCTGGAACATCTCATGTACTGCTAATGCTCATTGGCAAAAGTTGCTTGGTACTTGGTTGTGTCATCTAGCCTTTATGTCTCTAGGAAGTATCACATTCTGATTTTATGTTGTATTATTAAGATCATCAGACATTTACATTTTCAAGACATCATTATCAAAGGTTGTAGACTCTGTATTCTGAAAGTGCACCTAATCTTTATGTCTATAGGTAGTATTTAACACTTTCTGATATCTTATGTTTATTAAGATCGAGGAGGAATAAGTTATATCAATTGACAACTTATTCATTGCAGTGGATGTGATGTTTTGGTGTATCCAGCAAGTATAATTAGTCCATACAGCTTGTTCCTCTTTGATCTTAATAAACATAAGATTTTAGAAAGTGATGCCAGCTTTGATAATGCCACTATCAGAAGTTTATTAAGATCATAAGACATTTGCCCTTTCAAAACATTAGCTTTCCACTTTGCTTGCAAGTTCAAGTCTACAAAACCATCTTCTGTGCATGACATATGATACTGTGTTGTCTTCAGTAGACACTCTGGTCCAGAAACTTTGCATCTCATTATCCATAATGGCCCTGCCAGCAGATCCTGAGAATGTTTTCTTTTGCAGAAATGCATGTTATCTTTAACACATGATGAATACAGCCCCAAACCATTGTGGTAAAAGCCCCAGCCTTGAACTCAAAACGTAGACATTCCTTTGATTATTCTCATCATTTACCTTCAAGTTGGTGTGAAATGTTGACAGCCATTTTCTTTCTTTCAGTGGTGATGGACGAACTATAAAGATATTCACAACAGATGACCTAACCATGGATGGCATGCCGGCTTTAACAGCCTCGCCCAGTGCCCCAGCCTTCCTCAGTAAGGGTGGGGCACCGAGCCCCTCCCCGAATCGGCAGCCAAGGTCACTTGTTGGTAAGCTGACATGTCATTTCCCGTTATATTCTTGTATTGTCTCCATGGTTTGAAGATGTCACTGACATTTTGCATGGGAACTCATTTCATTTGACATGTCAGAAATCCATGATTCTGGGTTCAAATCCTGGTTTGTCCGTATCATAGCCGTCTTGCATCACTTTGGCTCCCACATCAAGTTGATGGTCTTTTGTACAAAAGAATATTGTCCAAAAAAGTATAGTTCTTGGTCCATCTCCAAGGTTTCAGGCACTGGAAGTTAATTTCTTAAAAATCCCACAGTATTTAAGACAGTCCTTCTTTCAATCATTCTCCAAACACCATTCTTTTATACCCAAAGTGCATCATATTAATTCTTGTCAAGTTGCTGATGTTATTGAAGTCATCTCCCTGGAATCACTGTAGAATAAGGATTCCATAGCCTATATTTTGTTCATATAATGAAGATTTTTGAAAAGGTTAGGAAATATAGTTCTTGGTCCATCACCAAGGTTTTATGCACTGGAAGCAATGGTTGTTTTTTTACAAATCCAAGGGTATTTAAGTTTTTCTTTCAATCATTCTCCCATCACCATTCTGTTATGTCCGGAAGAACATTGGAACATAACAGACAGTCAATAAAGCGAAGCTATAAGTTTGACATGTCCTTGTATTCCAGAACTGGTAATGGTACTGAGGGAACTTCAGTATAGCTTCACCATTCTTGGTGATGAAGTGGAAGTTATTATTATTTCAGTAGCGTTAAGAATGGTTCTGTGAATTCTTGTGACAAAAGGTGGCATTGGTAGCCTAGTAGTCTAAGCTGCTTCAACTAGACGTGCCAAGCCAAAGCTATAGGTTTGAATCCAACTTCTTTCTTAATTACAACACTTAAGCGATGGCACCATACCTGTTTTATAGGTGTCATGCTGTGCTGTAACACTCTCCTGATGAAACTATTATACAGGATTAGTCCATGAATTCTACATTGATAATTCTAAATTTCAAAGTTGCTGATTTTATTCTAGTGACACCGAGAAAGAAGGGTTCAAGTAGTGACCTTGAGAGTTTATCACCTGCAAAGATGGAACGTCGACGCAGTGAAAAGGATAGACGGTCATGTTATGACATCCATGGTAAGTGCAGAAGTCTTTGTAAACAGTGAAACATACCTGCAGACGTCACTCATCACCCATTAGACATTGGTAACAGCAGATGCTCTCCACCACTATCGAAACATATTTTTGCGACTTAAATATGTAACATATTTACAGAAAACAATTACCTTACCAAACACAAAAAATAACAATTGATAATAAACCAATTTGATTTGACTTAAAAGATTATGTGATGAACATAAATATATATAAGTTTTGACAGTGTTAAAACGTTTGTAATATAGTTTTTATAAACAATTTTTTTTACTGTTTTACATTTAACTTAACGAGTTTAACATTACAAAGTAATCATTAGGCAAGTCCTCTTTCATGTGCATATCAGATGAAATCTTCTTATATTTGTATGAATTCAAACAAATATTGAAAGTATGAGTACTTTTAATAAAAGCTACTAAACCGTTTCCATAACCATAAAAGCAGAGTCCATTGTACAATTCTGACTATATCCAGCTACGTCATGATGTTCATGAATCTCTATCAAACAGTAGTGACCCTTGAAGATCTGAGTAAGAATTGGTCTTGAGGAACCCATGCTTGTCATAAGAGGCGACTGACAGGATTGGGTGGTCAGGCTTGCTGACTTGCTTGACACATGTCATCATATCCCAATTGCGTAGATCATGCTCATGTTGTTGGTAACTGGATTGTCTGATCTGGACTCGATTATTTACAGGCTGTTGGAATATTGCTGAGTGCAGCATAAAAAAACAAACAAACGAATCTATCGAACAGTGATGACAACTCTTGTGTGTGCATGTGTGTTTTTCCTCTAACTTTTACAAGTTAAGTAAGATAAGAGAGATGCCTTTGTGACCGACTGAGCAGCATAATTGATTAGCATAACCTAGAGAACGCTCAACTATCCCTTCAGAGTTTTGCATTGAATAATGACATTTCGCTTCCAGTAAACCATTCTCATAAGTGCTGTGTACTTTGGTGCTTGTTTCAAGGATTTGTTTGATCAGAAAGCTTACACTGGCAAAGGAGTAGCCCACCTCATTCAGTCGCTATATTCTGTCACTTTTAATTACAGAAAGTTACTGTTTTGCAATCAAGGGGGCCAACAGCCTCTGGTGAAACTCGACAGTCTAGTAGTTTAATCCTGAAATAGAGCACTCTTTTGGCAAGGAATTGTCCATTTCAAGCGCTGCCAACTCACTGTGGTAGATTGCTAACTCAGCAATAACTACTTTGTACTATTTTTGTGAGAAAAAAATGCTAAATTTAGATATTAAGTTAGGAATAATTTGACATTATAGTATAAGTTTCATACCAGGCCCTTGTTGTGCTGGTCTTTTCATCATAACGATAAATAAACACGAGGTCATGTACTAGAAGGAGCAGAAATAGTGGTTGTCGTCATTGCAGGGACGTTCATGGGTTTCACTAATGAACTGAGGTCTTTGATAATTTGTTTCAGTTTCTCTTACCTAATTTGATATACAGTTTGCTTTGAAGAAGAATTTTGGGGAATGGCAAATATGTTTTATTAATGTGTGCTGTGCATGTGGTATGATTTTACGACTGCTTGTGACAATGTGATTGATGGATTATGTCAAATGTATCTGGAGTCTAAGAATACAAAGATTTATTCAGTTGACATGGGAATCTTGATAACTCCTGGAGTTCCTGGATACATTTCAAAGATCATACTTAATCTCAGTCATCTAAATACCACAAACTAATCATGCAAATGATAAAATGTCTGTGAATGACAGTTTCATGTAATGAACAGATATAAAGTGCATGACTGTCATGAGCATTATGAACAGATAAAGAGATAAAGCAGCTTTAATCTTGTACTATGAGGGGATGGACTGTACTTATTACTTATGTGATTAAATGTAATCGCTTTGATTTTTAATATCTGCTTAAATTTTAGCCCAACAAAATAGAACACTTAGAAAAATACTTTTGCTTTGAAATATAATTATACAATTATATTTAGTGTCTCTTTAAGACATTCTTTTATAATAACATAGTAATTTTTAATTTTCTCTCTTTAAAAATCCTGACATATTTTCAGCATCAGTGCCCTTAAAATATGTCCATGACATAACTGACATCATCATTTTCTTCAGAATCTTTTTCTCGTTAAAGTGGCTCAAAATAAATCTGCAATCTGGCTTTCTCCTTAACTAAATTAACCAGCCACTGACCCTGAATCGACAACTATTGCAAAAGTCTGACATTCTGAATGACAGCCACGATATGCTGCTTTAAAACTCATGAAGGTTCCGTAGTTAGATTAATAAGAACATTAGCAGGGGATAATTACATTACTGGAAGTTCATTATGATGTTTAAGTGTTTCATGGCTACACTCAGTACAGGCCTTAGCTGTAGGGCTACCCGGTGCATTGTGGGATATGTCTGTAGTGGTTTTAGTCTGGTCTCACCCATGCATGATTACATTCTTGGAATATCCTAATTTCTAATTATTATCCCATGCAGGTTCTGTTAAAACCTTAAAAAATCTCAGCATTTGAGAAGGTGTTGAAAGAGAGTTAAAATATTGCAGAAGTTTGTGATTCTTGAATTCTGATTTTAACGTTTCTGATTAGTTTCAGATAAAGATTATTTTGGGAAATGTCTTTCAAAGAATGTTAGGCTTTATCTGGAAGGAATTCTTTAATTACTCAGCTGAAAATATTTTGATTCAACAACTTTTAACTTAGTAGTTCCATATTATGGTTTCATGGCACATGGGTCATGCAAAAGTTGCCCATAAAACACTTCAGTATCCTTTTCCATTAAAGCAGGTAAGTTCAGTTGTGTTGAGAACAATCCAAATAGATTTTGTATGAAGTAAAGTTGTTATATCTGTTTACTACAGACTGTATCAATGCATGGGAAGTAACTCTGTAAAATGTTTATGTCAGTTGAAGCAGTTATAAAATCACAGTTATTGCAAGAGACTGTGAAATTAATAAAATGAGACAATGAAATTAATGAAACTCTAATAAACTTAAGTAAATCATCAAAATGTACAATTTCCATCAACTCCAAGTCAAATCTTACTGCATCAATGTGACGTATCTCTGATAATTATTTGCTTAAATTACAATCTCTATTTCAAGAAGCACCATCACAAATAACATTTGATATAAATCCTAGTTTGGTGCTCGAAAATGCAGTATTCATAAATTAACACTATAACAATACCTGCATTAATTTAAAGGTAAAATATCTCAAACTGCCATTCGGTGTATAACAACCACCTATTTAAAAGTCCATCGCTTTAAAAATATCCCCACAGAATACACAGACACTAAGACAACACCGTACAGGATCTAATCCAAGTAAAGCCCCTTTCTCTGTTGGAGCGTGCTGTACCTGTAGATACAAGAGGTCGTGACATTCTGCTGGCCTACTGATTGCAATTGGTCTAATCACCTGTCTGATGTGACATTCCTCTCTGGTCAGGGGTACTACGAATGCTGATGAGGCATTGGCTTTCCCGTCAACCTGCTATTTAGAGAGTCCTTGTTGACAAAGAGATAATGTATGTTTCCTTTATAATGTATTTAAATGGAGGCTGTTGAATGTATCTCTATATTACTGTCACTATTGGCAAACTGTTACAGCTTTTGAAGAACCTCCTAACAACTAATTGAGATAAAATAAGTTTAAATCATATTCAAATGCAAACATATCATACAATGAATGTAGTTACGATGAAAAAAGTCTTGTTAGTTGGTCATGAACACAAAAGTGATGAATTATATATTCTTCCTTCTTTGAGTGGCATTTTCGTGTTATGGTGTGATGAACAATGGGGAGAGTTCTATGGATATACAACTTCTTTATAAGTAGTATGAGCTATGATTTCCACATGAGATCATGTTTTTTGCTAGATGTTCAGAAAGTGGATGATTATCTGTCTTGTATGTTGTCAAGGTTACTATGAATGTGGCAGAGGTATGAAGATTCCATTTGACATGAAATTTGGACAATCATTCAGTTTTTTCCCCTTAATTTACTGTAAACTCAGAAATCCTGAATTACAATCAATTATAAAACCTTTTATTATCAACAGTTATACTTCTGATCACTTACTGTGTTAGTTTAATTTGATGCTTTAATTAGGCCAGACCAATTTTATTTCTTGTTTTACGGATTTCTGTCCTCTGAAAACCTAAAGGCAGGAGGGAAAAAAATAAAATAAAATCACCAGTCAAAGTAATATTCCTTATAAATACTCAAAGTATTTTCCTTTTGGCAATTCATGAAGCGTATATGGGGCAAGTTTACATTTTTGGCCAATGAAAACATGAGGATTTTATTTTTTGAGCGGGGAAAATTAATTTTAATTTTTTTCTTATTCTTGAAAAAATATGACAGGCAGATCCGTAAATCAAGAAATAAAATTGGTTTAGCCTTAGGAAAAGTATTTTATGATGAGGATAGGGAGATTTAACGTGCGCTTTCTGACATAATGTGTGTCTATCGATGATGATGATTTTGAGTTTCAATGTGTTTCTGGCATAATGTGTATTTATTGATGATGATCCATATTTATCAAAATATCAAACTTGTTTATATTTGTTACCAGGATGTGTAGTAGACTGGTAAATAGTACCTGTCCTCACGCTAATTATTGTGACAGTAATCAAAAACAATTAACAAGTCTAATTACATATCAATTAGGTACCCGTTATGTCATATGCACTAATAAATACATTCCCTCTTGTCAAGTTTAGCTATGAATTAATCCTTCTGGCACCGCCAGCATGTATATTGTTCTGATGATCTGCCAATGATGATAGACAAAGGGTTCTAGATAGCCATATTATGACATCAAAGGGAGTTTAACGACAGGTGATATAAGCCTAGGATTGGGCTGTGAGGTAGAAGCATACCTAGCTCTGTTGTGAACACACCCTCAGGCTAGAGCTGTTTGCTACACTCAGGGTCTGTTAGCACTCTCATACAGTGTATAATACGAACTGTCTCAGCCAGGCAGGGGGACGTTTACTTTTGGAGCAACAGAGGTTATCCTGTGTAAATTTCTCTCGTATTGGACGTGTTTGTTGAACAACTTGTCTGAGAGGCCGTTGCAGGTGAGGTGATTGTCGCATTTGAAAGCGATCAGCATTTGAGATTGGAGTACACCTTGCCGGAAGCCTTAGCGCCAGGCTGATAATTAAGTGTTTTCCTGGAGGATTTTATACTGTTAATTCCAAATCTATTTTAAGGTGAGGACTTGTACTGCATTTTAATTTAAATTTTTATGTTGGTGAGAATTCGTGTTAAGAACAGATTGAGTACTTTCTTCCCATGTAGTTGTGTCATATCAGCATGGGGATAGTGTTGATGTTGCTAAATACAAAATGCCAAATCAAAATACTTTCTATGCATTTCAAATGTCACGGTTGTATTTCAACATGGCAGCTTTTAGTTTCATTGTTTACTATTTGAAGTTAATCACAGAGGTCTGACAATCATTTCTGATATCAATTTAAAGAAATCATAAAAATATTATTGATATATTCCAAGATTTCTGTGCCAAACATCCCTTTTTCTCATGTTATTGGCTGCTTAGCAATAATTTGGTATCACAGACATTGGTCTGAAGTGTGAACAAATTACTACATGTATATTCTTTGAATTGAAATGTGTTTTCAACATGGTTATGTTTTACAGTGCTATATAGCAACTTGTATATGTGTAAGATCAAACCTCAAATATTAGATACTGTTCTAAACTTCATGATGTCATATTTTTAGTTCAATATATATATATATATAGTTCTTGTATACACACACCTAGCTTGGCTCTAGTCATGATATGGCTGAAATACTGCCGATGGGGCTTGTGAGAGGACGTGAAAATTTAACTCACTCACTGTAGCTTGGCTTATACAATCCATTCGTTAGCTTCAACCTTCATTGTTATCTTACGAATGTGTCATGGATTATGAGTCATGGAGTGATATTAGCTGGAGGATTTGTGTGATTATCAGTTGATTTTCATATACTTTAGTGAAAATATGTTTAAATTATGTGATTGAAATTGTTATTAGATCTTAAATATTTCTCAAGTGTTTGACAAATTGTTCCCCACTGTGTGCCCCAAAAGGAACAAATTCAAACTGTTGAGAACATCAATACAAAATGGTGACATGCTTGTAATATTTGTGTCCAAAACAATTAACACAGACTTGTTTAATGTTAAAGCTTGCGATGCTGATGCACTGTTTAATGTCGAGGTTTGTGTCATTGCAGCGCTGTTTGATGCTGTGGAACAACAGGACATTGATGTGGTCAGGGCTATATTGGACACTGGAGGAGTTGAGCTTAACAGGTGTGTGCCGAGCATTTGCAAAATGTTTTTGATAAAATAACACATTCAAATATCCAGACGTTCCTGTCTTTGTATTTAGTCATGTAGACTGGATATCTGTTTTGGGATGAATTATTTGTCAGCAGAAAGAATTGCAGATTCAAGAATATTTAATAATTGAAGAGTTGAAAGGACTCTGTTATGAAGTAGGAAAATATTAAAAGGAAGTGTATACCATGACAGATGTAAAAAGACAGGTGTACCTATTCTACAGACATATGAGCTCACAGGTGTACAGGTATGTATGTATGGAGATTTTGCCTGAGGTCTCAGGGCTTATAATCTAGTAAGATATGAGATAGGGACACAGTCAAATATTTGCCAAGAGCCTTGACAGTATCAGCTCAGCAGGTCATAAAATTTATCAGTTTGAAGATGGTCTTTATCAACATGACAAGTTGAGAGGCATAAAGCAAGTGACACATGAAGAGACACTTTTACAGCTGTAGTTTAGTACAGATTGGGGTGCCGTTGCACAAAACAACCTTAGCACTAAGACTATCGTAAGTCTATGTTTAGACATGGGAGTCACGATCACCTTAGCACTAACATTGTTTTGTATGATGATACCTAGTTCTGTATTGAAATTGCTTTGGGAATTTTATTTTTTTTCTCGTCTGTTTGATGTTTCTTCTGGTGAAATACATATTTCTTTAGGAAAAGTCTTTGGAAAATTTAATGATTGTTACTGAAAATGATCATGTTAATAATCAACTATTGTATATCTTTATTCATGAAGATTGTTCACACAGGTGGACTGTCAGCATATAATGTGACAATATATGTAGAATTAGTCCACATGGATCTTTCTAAAGCAATTTGTATAATATACATAGCCAGGTGTCTAACAATTTCACATCTGTTGATGCTAAACACACTTTGTTTCTTACGTTAATAATCAACTATGAAATAGTTACATGTTAATCACAACCATGACCATCACAGACATCAAACATGTTAAAACAAGCAACTCACAGATGCTTTTAGCTGTAGTGGAAGAAATGTGTTTATGTGACTATGATAATAGAGTTGATCTCCTGTGAATAATTCCTTTGAGAGTTGAGTAATATTAGGAAAAGGATTCTAGGTGTATTATAAGCCCTGCTGAGTGGTGGATAATCCTCTCAGTTCCTAAGATATGAAGGCTATTTCTAAGAAGATTATGATATTAGGGTTGATATGAGGTTTGTTGTCATACATACAGCACCATAGGTGATGGTTACAACTACTTATTATAGTCTTGCAATCAAGCTCTTCACAAATACCTCTTAAACACCTTGTGTGTTCGAGTTGTTAATGTGTTTGAGCAAGATGTGCTATGTATATTATGTAGGGTTATGTTTGAGTGAATGTATTTTTAGGGTCTATAAGAAAATCATGGAATGTTTATGGCTTAGGTTTCTTGTGAAGAGTTGGTATGTAATATTTTGGGGGGCATGCCTACCAATTCTTTTGGACGTCAAGAAGCTGAAGCAGGAATGCATTAAACTTTGTTGTTTCAGGGTTAACTTTAAAAATTTATGAATCTGCTTTTAATGATAAGCTGACATTATAGTAGAATATTTAAACCATTTTTATTCTTAGCTATTGTTTCATTCCAAACTATTATATTTCAGAGATTGATGTATCTTTCATCTTCTTTGGGAAATAGTCTTCATCATTACAAGAAATTCTTATAGGCTGTGTAATGACAGTGAAATTAGGCCACTATTGTTGTTTGCTCCCAGTTTTGAAGGTAATGTTTTATTTGCAGTGTCAACAGTGAGGGTTTGACCCCCCTGGATGTGGCGGTCATGACCAACAACATCCCCATGGCCAAAATGCTCCTCTTCCACGGGGCAAGGGAGAGTCCTATATGTAAGTATGTAGACATCAAGACAATTATGGACTCGTACTTGGAGTCAGTCTGAAGTACTGGGATATATTTAGTCAAGCTGGTCCTGATTTTATCTATGAATACACAAGAAAGTATTGTGGAAGAACTGGAGGCCAAGTAGGAGTGATAGTTTGCTAATTACATTGATCAATAAGACTTGAAATAGATGTATCATCATCTGTTACTCATGTGGGTTCTCAGCATTTAGAAAGGATGTGGGTACATTATACCTGCAACATAATACTGAAGTCTACATAAGAAATATGATTATATTGTCCCGTTGTTTATAAGGAGTGCAGTAGGTCAAGGTGGTAGTGTCCTTCATGAAACTAAACAAAAATCTGTAGCATAAGGAGAAATGTGGTTGACACATGTCACCATATACCAGTTGTGTAGATCGCTGGTCATGATGTCAATCACTGAATTATCTGGTCCAGACTAGCTTATTTACAGACCACCACCATATAGCAGGAATATTGCTTAATGTGGAGAACAGACAAAAACACAAATAAAATGTCTGCCAGACATGACCATTACATTAGCAGATTTTAGTCATTCTTGTCTGAGTCAGCCTATAGAAATGAAATAGTTAGTTAGTTATTTACTTTATTTAGCGTCGCTTGCACAACTAAGGTATTTCGGGTCAGGGTAGTACATTTATTAAGAAATGAGGGGGAACAAAAAAATAGAAATTTTAAAAGAATGGTGTAACTACCCCCAAAAATAGAAACGGAGTATTAAGGGAAATTTAAATGGAAGGCCGAATTAAAAAGTAAGGAAAACTAAAGTAAGTAAAGAGTAATAGAGATTTGGAATTTAATATTGATGTGGTATAATAAATGGTTAAGAAATGAAATAAATTAGAGCACATCCACATGTATTCTGATATAAAGCTTCCTTTTCTCCACTCTTAGACACATTTAGTCTCTGACCTCTCAAACCCCTATACTCTTGACTAATCTTATCAAAGCTCAACCTAAAACAGAGTATGTTTTCACAGTCCCATTTGATAACTTATACCATGTTACTAAAGGTCCAAGCATAACCTCCCACCTGAGATCCTGCTGGACATTGTCCAGGATCTCCTGTAACAACATACTTGTTGTCCAGCCTTATGTTATGGCTTGGATATGTAATGGCTGTGTTGTTTCAACCATTTACCTCTACTCATGTGATCAGTCCATCTAGCAAGCCCAAGCTTGACAGTAATATATAAACCTAGCAGACCCATGGTCCTCACACTTAGTGCAAACTGCATCATGAAGTTCCCTAGCCTGCAGTCCTTTCAGAAGAAATTAACTCATGTGTTTGTTCACAAAGACAAAGTTGCAGGTAGGAAAAGATTCTGAGGAATCTATATCGCTCTTCTAAATAGGGATTGGTATATAGGTTGTAGATCGTGTGTCAGAAAAATAAGTGCAGAACCTACCATAATCATTTATGTTTTTATGGTTTTTATATGTTATATAGACATATGTCTGAAAAGTGACCATTTGATTTTTCAATTGTGCAAAGGTGTGAAAAGGTAGTGACATTGGTGTATTGTTCTCTTCCTAGACTGTGTATAATTACATCGTACACCTACCCCTTGCTGCCCTAAGTTGTCCAATAATGTACTACACTTAACAGGATCAATGCTGTTTATTGGTAGCCCAACATTAATTTTTTTAAACAAAACTTGGTTTTCAAACATTTGTGTCTTTAACCTTATTCGTGTCTGAGTTGACCTTTACTGAAAGGAGCTGGTGTGTTTTCAAACACTTGTGTCTGCCGAGAACCTATTGGTCTCTGAATTGACCTTCTCCTCACTGTTATTCTTCCATGGATCACTATGCACTATAAACCATGATAATCAAAACAAAGGATTTAGGAGAAAAAACTACAAAGGCATGCCAAACTTAAGCATTTAGATAAACATGTAACTAGCCTGTGTTTTATTTACACAGTGTATTATCAGGTACAGTAACACCCTATTGTGTTGGTCCTTTGACTGTTGTCCCAGTCAGCTTCCCATGTCTGATTGGCTGATGGGGATGAGGAGGAGGGGGAAGGCTACAGCTGAGATACTCATTTATTAGGAATGTCACTATGAACATGTACAATATTTCCTGACTTCCCTGTCTTTGCTTGCAGTTCAGCAAGGTGACTGTCGCCTGGACAAGCTGGAGGCTCTCATAGCCGAGGCTGAGAAAAAGGTTGTCGACTTCACTGCAGCAGTTCTGAACAGCTCGTCGGGAAATGCAAACATCTCGCCTGCTCAGCAGAAGGTAAATATGCTGGGACATCATGCCTGTGATTTTTTAGGAGAAGAGAGGGATTTGGGATTTTGTCCATTGAATTATTTGAGTTTGAGGAAAGGCATTTGCACTGAGTGGTGTTCGGCTGCCCTCCGAGTAATGTCGTCTGGTAATGAATACAAGTGACTGTTGTAATGCATGTATTTTATATAATGAATGTATGTCACTTGAGTTAGAAAGTCATGAATTACAAGTATGATGTGTGGATTTAGTTTAACTGGTACATTATGATTCTCTAATGAATGTTTATTTGGATTAAAACATGCATTGCATTTTCAATGACATGTCTATTTGCATTGCAGGAAAACGAGACTCAGCTAAGTCACTGGGAGTTCCGCTACCGACTTTTGAAGAGAATGCGCGCAGGGTACGACCATGCAAGTACGTACAACAAACTTCACTTTTTATAATCCTCACAGCTATGTGTGGTGCGAGAGTAGAGTAGTAGAAAATTCAGTTTAGCTGAAAATGCTGAAACTTGCTGCATGTTGTCGGTCAGGTGGAAGCTTTTGTATTACATTGTAATGTAAACATTGTCAAAAGTTGTTATTGAATTGCTCAGTGATAGTTAATGGTATTTAGTAAGAAATTATTTAGTCAAGTTGGGTGAACACAAAATGCTTTGTGGACATCTACTTCTGTTTGGAACTAAGATTGAAAGTTCAGGTAATAGTTGGTTGGTATGGTCTGAATATTAATGTGTTTTCTCTTCCAGGGCCTCCAGATGCTCCCACCAATGTCCGTCTCAGCGTCGCCAGTAGCTCCTCTCTACTAGTCAACTTTGGGGAGCCACTGAACCACAATGGAGCCGTAGTCACCAAGTACAGAGGTAAGACTGGAGCTTACAATAACATCATCTATAAATTTATATGTTCAGTCTGTATGTATTTCCACAGTGCAGTATTTCTCTATCAGTTTGTGTACTGTGTCAGTTTCCGACTGGTTTTTGAGTAATGTTGAATATATGGTCACATAAAAATTGCTGAATACATATTAAAAAGATGTATATTTCTAAGTATTTTGGAAATCCTGTAAAGTTTTTCCTTACATGTTAAAAATTAAATATTATTGTTATTAATTTTGACTATATGACAGTGTATGCTAGGTAACTGTGTACAAGGTGTACTTGTGTACAGCTGATTACACTGACTTCTTATTGTTTCAGTGGAATGGAGCAACACAGAGAACTTCACCACTATAGCAGGGGAGGTAACTGTGGAAGATGTACGTCAGCTGGCATTTGAGATTCAGGGTCTTGTGAAAGGAAGTCAGTACTATGTCCGTGTATCAGCGTGCAATATGAAGGGTTGTGGGACGTCTACCCTCAGCAATCCACCTTGTGCTGTCCCATCAAGTACGTCATGCAATTCTTATTCATAAAATTATTTTTATCCATAAAAAATAAATACATTGTACCATGTGTGTCCATCTAGAGTGTTTATACTCTTTTATTTACTTATTATCATTCCTGTTTTAAAACTTTTAAAACAATATTTATGTTGGAAGTAAACGATTATATAATTTACTCATCCTGTTTTTCGTTGTGTTCCAGATTGGCGTGATGTGGACAGTGTTAGTCCCCGTCTAGACGGCAAAGTGCAATCTCTACAAATCCTCTTCCATCAAGTCAAACAGTCAAGACCATCTGATGCCTCTGAGCTTAAAGGTGAGAAATGTATATTGAGTGTAGTACTTACTGCCATGAATGAACATGACAATGTGTAGTGTATTTAAATCTCTTCTTGGACCAATACATTGTTGCTGCATTGTTGAATACCAAGATATTTGTTGTGCCTGATTCACATGAAAGCCATTTGTATTGCCAGATTCACGACACCGGTCGACCGATTCCCCTCAACAGCGGAAACGAATCAGCATCAAGAACCTCTTCATCTCTGCACCAAAGTTCCAGAAAAGTCTCAAGAGGTAGATGTCCGATTAAATCTGAAGCTTATGAAATAAATGAATATCAATTTGTATCATTTTATTTCCATATATATTAATTTGTTATTATTATTACAAAATACACTTTTCATGTAGAAAGCATCAGCAAACCTTCTTGTAAACTAATGTTGACTTGTTTGTGTCTGTCAGAGGGGTGTACATGGCGTGTCTGCTGTACAATGAGGACAGAGTGTTGGTCACGTCCGAGGAGCAGCTGCCCATCATAGAGGTCGATGAGAACTTCTCAGGCCCATCTATACAGTCTGACCTCTACTGGATGATGAAGGTATGTATTAGGTACAGCAATATATTTTTGTCAAAGACTGTGACTTAACTCCTGCTTCAGCTCTACCACAGTTGTTTGTTTATCATAATATCTTTGTGGGGTAATTGACTTGTAGATTGCAAAGTTGTTAACAAACATGTTGTATTTACAGATTGCCTGTACATGGGATGATGTGAAATCACTCCGTCACGACATGGACAAGAGTAACAGTGCAGGAACAGTTCACTTCCGCAGCAAGTTACTACAGGCTGCTTCCACACTGCAGGTGAGTTTACTTGCCTGGATATCTCGCTTTGAGCCTTCATTGTGGGCCAGAACTGCTTTTCTGACCTCATGAGATATGGAAGTCCTGTAAAAAAAATGTAAACATATCTGTCTCATATAATTTTTTTTGTATCTTATCCTTGCAACATATGTTACATTCGGGATTTTATTTTCTTAGTAAAGTACAGATTCTCTTACTTTTGGGTTGAGTCCCATCCGGGATTCGAACCAACACCATCAGAGTCAGGCACCTAACTTATCCTTTTTGTTTTTCGTTGTAGTCTTCCTTGGGTATTCATGATCTGGGTCAGTTCTACCACAAACCTCTGAAGGATCCGAATGGCAGCATTGTTCTCATCACTATGAACCATATTCGTGAGACCAAGTTCGTCGCCCTTGGATCTGGTAAATGGGTGTCCCTGGGCAAGCTGACCCGACGACAGTCGTTGGCTGGAATGGACATAAATGATGCTAACAGTTTACTCCTTAGTAGTGTACCGGTAAGTTTACCCCCCAAACTTTGGAAAAACTGTTTTGTAAAAGAGAAAAGGAAATATCCTGAAACATAAGTTCCTTATAATAATGAAGTTCACATCCATAAATGCCATTCCAAAATATGTTTTGTGATGTAAAAAAGGACAGTAATGAAAATATATTGTCCAACATTTTTGAAAAAAGTTACCATGTTTGAGTTGTTGGGTAAATAGTATGGTAACGAGTAACCGTGTAATGTGTGCTAATCATCAATTCTCTCTCTGTTCCCCCAGGACATGATCCTGTACCATCAGGTGAGCAGCATCCCCTCCCCGAGGCTTGTACCTGGGATACCTCAAGATCCATGTCTCTGTGGAGAAGCTGCAGGTGCTTGTCCAGCACAAGATGCCCAATGTCCTGCCACATGTCAAGATCAGGGACTGCCCAAACGTATCCAGGTATGTAGTCAGGTTCCTACTCAGCAATTCCTTCTCAGATATGTAATTTGGGATAAGCATCGATTGAAGTAACTTGTTCGGGCCAGAAAGAGATGTCCTGGTAGTAACTTGCATACTTTCTCTAAAGACTTACATGTCTGTTAGTGTACTCCAGTATATCCTTTTCATTAGGAGGACAATGCATAACACAGATGAGTGTAAGGAGAAAATTTAACACTTCCACACATTGTTTTCAGAGAGGAGTGGGAGTATTTGCAGAGTCTAGGTTCCGATGAATCTGTGATGAAGCCAAGTTCCACCCAGCAGGAATTCCGCACCAGCATCAGCAAGGCATCACGCAGACTTCTCTCAATGCTTGGTATGTATCAGTGTGTTTCCTGTTCTGGTCAGAACAGGTTCCTGCCACCCCGATCCGGCTCAGCCAAGGACCCATCTTCCTATGTCCTCTCCAATCTTGTAAACATTTGTGTTACGTTTTCTGATGCCCAGATCTTATTTGTCAGTGTATTGAGGCAACAACTGTCTGGTGTCCAAGCAAACTCTCATATTTTCATTGCCTCTTTCTAATGGACTGAAAAATATTGATATTGCTGTAAAAATGTTTTCTGAAAGGTATCTCATGTAACATTCCTTTCTGTCTCAGGCATCTCACCTGATGTGGACCATCGTGTGTACGACTTTGAGGTGATAGAGCTGTCACCACAGGTGTCCTTCATCCTAGTGCTGCCCCCTGCTGAGGAAGTGTGCATCGTGCCAGGTCAAACTGACGACCTCACGGACAAGAAGGACCTCTCCTTCCTTCCGGTGCAGGTGTTTGAGATGAGTGAGTACACATTACGTTTCCTGTTTTCTTTCTTCATTTTAAAGAAATGTAACTGAAGATCTTCAAGAAATCTACAAGAATGTTTTTTCTGTTTTTCCCTTGATAGTTAATGTTCTCTTAGGACACTTCAGTCAATAGTACATATCACAGAATAGAATCACCGCACATGTGATTTACATATATATGTAGGATTTAGTGTGTCAGAACTGTGGTCCATGTTAAGGTTGTTAATCACACCTGACTATGACACTAACTATATGCTTGTACATCATTTCAGTCAACTACTACACATACCATCCTGAGTTCATCTCTCGCTACTCAAGACTATCATCCATCATTGAGATGGATGTCAACCTAGCACAACAGGCTCATCGAGAGGTAAGCAGATCACGCCATGGGTATTCAATAAATGTTGTCACCATTACAACTGAGATGAAGTGTGTGTAATACTTCTTTATTTTTACAATTCTAAAATGGTCTCAAGTGGTTGAGACATCTTGTTTGGCAAAAATGTCTTTTATTAGTTTATACATAAGCAATATAAATTTGAATTTTTATGAATCAATAGAACTGCTTCAAATGCCCTTTATAAATTTTATTTTGTCATACCCCTGTTCTCATGTATTGCTTTGTCATCACCAGGCATTCTCCAGTGATGAGCTGAGCACTGCTAGAGTTCGTGTGGACGTCATGGTACAGCTGCAGCAGACGCTGGATAAGATCTGGAAGAGTGTACGCTGGGTGATGGACATTATCACCTATGCCCGGGACAAAACTACCCGTGGTGGCATTCCCCTAGCAGCCATCTCCCAGTACTGTGACGACAACGACACTCCAGAACCAGAACGGCGATCTCGGATCCCGGACAATAACAATTCCTCCTCCGCCTTCTCCTGTGATTCCAATGAGATCAGTGTCGGCAAGGACAATCGTAAGATTGCCAAGTTCTATGACCCGAATGACGACGTTCCCGGACAGTCGAGCGAAAGTGAAGCAGGGTCATCTAGTCATGCTCCATGTTCCGGTGTACTGCGTGTGTACGCTGCGTACGAGACAGGACTCTCTAAAGGTGTGAGTGTTAAGCTTCATGTGACCACAAAGACATCAGCTCGGGATGTGATTAATCTAGTCGTGAGACAACTCAACAAGGCCATCATTACACGTGGTATTGATGGACCTCTGTACACAGAGGATCAACTGAGTGACTTCTGTTTGGTGGCTGTAATTGGTGCAAGGGAACGTGTGCTTAGAGACGATTATGTCCCCTTGCAGCTTCAGAACCCCTGGACCAAAGGTCGTCTGTATGTACGTTTACGGAATAACGTTCTAGCAGCAATCCAACAGGGCCATGCGACGGCTGTGTAATGTGTTCCAATGGTCCATTTCTCACTGGATCCTTGTTCAGATGATGTGTGTATTCACACTAAGGATGAAACTGTGGACGCAGGTCACATTGACCTGGTTGTGCCCACAGGTGTAATCACAGTGCTCCTTCATAAAGTGCTACATGATGTTGGTCCTGTACCATTTGTATATAGTCAGTTTTTGAATGTGTTACTTTAGACACTTGACAATCGTGAACAGCTGGACATTACCAATCTGAATTAACTTTCAAAAAATTCAAATTTTTGAATTTGTAAATCAAAACTGAACAAATGGTCAAAATCTTCACGGTCCTTGGCTTTATTTCATTCATCCCCGCACCCATCCACAAGGTGTTCACCCATTTTCATGAATTGTAATGAAGTCAAGTGTTGTTTATTTGTGTTGGCATAATTCTGGTCATGAATGTCTCTGCTAGAATACTCAACAGCATTTAGTATGCAAACTAATGTTCTGTAACGACAATCAAGCATGTGTAAGTGTTTCATCTGTACAAACCGACATGGACAGAAATGTTCACTGACATTGTATATATTTAGATGTATTTGTATATATGTTGCCACAGAGTGTAGAAAGTGATAGATATTTATACCAAACAAAGAAGAATGTGATACAGTGTTTCATAGCTCTGTGTGAGTGTTTGTATGCCCTGCAAGAAATGTTTGATCAGTACTTTCCTGAAGACTTATCTTAACCTTAAGGTTTTGCTTTATAAATTTATGCAAAAACATTTTATTGCAAATTATGCAAGGTTGTTAAGTTATTTTAAAAGTTTTTGAATATTATTTTAGGTATTTATTGAACAGCAAGCCATTCCAGTTAGTTTGAGTCTGTGGGTAGATTCACCTGCAAAAATGTGCCGTCAATAACAGATGCTCAAATTGTAGCCAAAATATTCCATGTCGCAGAACAGAATCTGACAGTAACTACAAGAGATTTTTTCTCTCATTTACTCCTAATTCTTACCTATTGTTCTGTTTAGGAATTTAATTATTTAAAAATTGAATCAAATTTTTAGATGTTCACTAGCCACAATCAGTTGGTTATGGACAGATTTTTGGTTTTGGATTTTCTACAGTCGTAGGAAGAAAGAAAAGTGACCCGGTTTACCCTGCTCCTGAGTGAGTGGTCCCCCCTGTGAGAGTGGTCTCCCTTGTGCACATGTATATTGCCTGCACAACATGGTCTATTTATTGTTGTTGAACGACGTCTTTCATATGTCTGTGATCATCATGATCAGTGCATTCTGGTCTTCATTCTAATTGATTATCATCAATAAACAACATGAGTCATGAATACACCTGTCTGTTTTGTTTGCTGAATCATAATAAGGTCTGGATGGAACAAACCAGCACGTGTTAGTTTAGGAAGGTAAACAATATATGGAGGAACAACTTTATTAAAGTGAGTGACGTTTCAGTGTATGTTCTGACACCTTTACCAAGCAAGTTGTTCATCCAAATATTGCTATCCCTCTTAACTGCTCCAAATGTGCGAGATGAGTGCATTACAGCCAAATGTGGGGGAATTGTGACAATATTCATGAAGCACCAAACATAATCACCCTGTTCATAAATGGAGTTGTCCAACAATATTGCCATGATAATAAGTGACATTAACACAGTGTTCTTTGTTTATTTCTACCTTCAGAATTGTACTGTATGATACCCCACCCCTTTCTTATTTCTTAAATAACACAATGGTGGTTTGTGTTTAGTGTATACAAAAGGATAAACCAAGGAGACCCTAAATCACTACTGTGTTTTATGATATGTCAGTATTCATGATTTTATATAAGATGTAGTAAATCTTGTAGCAGAAAATCTAGTTTATAAAATGCTAGATCTAGATGACAGTTGTTGTAGTAATTGTGGAAATATTAGATACACAAATACCAGTGGACATACAGATACTAAGATATTGCTAAGTTGTCGTGTTATGTATGTTGAAAATACAAAGTTATGTTTAAAATCAGAATAAAATCAGTCAAACATATTGTAGTATAACAATATAAAACAATTCAATATATTTATAATAGAAATATATTGTAATAATTCACATACAAGATGTAGAAATACTAAACTGCATCATTTATTTGTTGAAATCGTTGTACTCAAAATTCTGACAAAAATAATTGTGTGCTGTTTTAATTGTAAAAAACTCCTCGGTATGTATAAAACATTTTCTAGGTGTGTTTTACTGGAAAATATATTCATTTCATTATCGTACTGATAAGTTCGGATTCTTGTCATCAAATTATTCTCTCCGCCTGACTTGGTGCCTTTTACGAGCGCTTTAGTCAACAATTATGAAGGGACTGGCTTCAACATGCGTTGACATATAGCACAAAATTGAAACACAGGCAGACAGCTCAACATCCGAACTAAGATACCTTGCGATCAAATATATTAACGTAGATAAACAGAAGCATCGGTGTAGATGGTGTCCATTCAGCCTGGTTCCACGGTGCATTGATTAGAGTATTTATTTACTATCCGTATCGGGTCTGTTGTAAATTGAAGTAATCGTCGGAAAATAACATCTTTACCTGTTGCTGCATTATCTAATTGTCACGTGGTCTTGAAAGTATGAAAGTGAACAGCACCTTTGCGATTTTCCAAAGTTTGGAGGAGTGATTAAGTATGGGTTTAGTCCCCTCTTGGCGGGGCGGTGGGGTAGCCTAGTGGTTATGCGTTCGCTCGTCACGTTGAAGACCCGGGTTCGATTCCCCAAATGGGTACAATGAGTGAAGCCCATTTCTGGTGTCCCCTGCCGTGATATTATTGGAATATTGCTAAAAGCGTCGTAAAACTAAACTCACTCACTGCAATGTATAGGGAGGGAGACACCGGTAATGGAGATCACACACTACACTCTTCTGACGAGCCAAACTGGGGAAGTGAATGCTTCAGTCACAAGCTTTAATCACCGCCCGTTCATATCATCGTAGCGTCTCGGCTTGAATTTATAGGCTTCGTACTTAGGTATTTGATCAACCCCTGAAGATCCGGGTCTTCAGCAACCCATGCTTGTCGTAAGGGGTGACTGACGGTTCGGGTGGTCAGGCTCGCTTGCTTGGTTGACAAATCATCGTATCTAGATCGATGTTCATGATGTCAGTCACTGGGTTTACAGAGAGCCGTCACATAGCTGGAATTAATGCTGAGTACGATGTTAAACAACAACCAAAAAACATATTTGATAATGTCAGAAATCCCAAATTTCATATTGTAAGAAAAAAAACCCGCTACTTTTCTGCCATCTGAGCGTGTCCACGCGAGCTCTCTGATTGGCCAACGCTTGCAAATCTACGCATTCTTTATTTCGCGGGAATTTTTCCGTTTTCGAGCAATGGCTTCCCAAAAGAAAGCATCAGTTGCAAATGTTTCCCTAACAAGCGTCAACCAACCAGAGGGCTTGCTTCGACCACACCCCGTTTTTTGGACATAACGTCATCCATTTGTGTCAAGATCGTGTAGGTGAGGGTCAAAATCGGGTTTCAATCGACTTGCAGAAATAACATTAAAGAATTGGTAGAGTGTCATGAGTGGTGGTCGATATGCCAATCATCCATGATTATGTTAACATTAAGACTTAATCGATTGCATGCGATGGTACCGTAGCAATCGGTAAAGCAGGCGGGTGGGGTACACCGAAGTGTCCGGCCTTGTCATAATTTATTGTAGTGTAAAGCATTTCGAATAAATATACTGAAGACACGAGGGCCTGTGCCTACAAATCCTTAGTCCTTCTCAGTCCTAAAACCGCATTATTTTCCCTTCCGCCTGCCCTTTCTGCAATGATTAAGCGCTAAAGGAGACAAGTCTAGATTTGCTCAGGTTATCTCTCATCTCACTGGGGCCCCTTTTCAGTTTAAAAGAAATTATTTGTTTCTATCAACATTATACATATACTAGTATTCAGAGACTAAGCCTTAGTCTACCCTACCTTTTCTATTCGTGATACCATATGGCTTGATTCTATTAGTTATATGGCATATGGCATATATGGTAAATAAAATCAGGGGAAAATATCCAAAATACATGTATGTACGAACCCGGGAACCTGAATCGCAATGTGGTGATAGGTGGGGTGAGGTGAAATTGGGTTTAACGTCGTGCTTGAGACTATTTCGCTCATATGACGACGTGCATGCGTGTGTATGTGTATGTGCGGCTGCTTGTACTAGGCCAGACTGAAGCTGGTTTTATAGTGCTGGCCCACTGAGATACCATGCCGCAGTGAAGCATGAATACGCCACTCAGACACATTATACTGACTCCGAGCCGACCAGTCCTTGTTGTACCCATTAATGCCGAGCGCCAGGCAGGGACTAGACTAACAACTAGTCTCTGAAATGAACATATTTTACTGAAAAAAGTTCATAGTAAAACAAAATAACATATAATGAAAAGAAGCCCTGAGACTTTCTTCATTTTCAGAAGCTGAGGAAATCTAGACTTGCCACATTTTCTAGACTTGCGTGGGCTTTCTTGGATATATTTGCTTCAGGGTCTGTACGAAAGACTAGGCAGGGACCAACAAGTACCATATTTTAACGTCTTTTGGTATGACGCGGTCGGGGATCGAGCCCTCGACCTTCCGCTCTCCGGGCGGACGCTCTAACCACTACACCACGGAGGCGGTAGTGGTGATTGGAGACACATGTCAATCAAGTAGGTGTAGTAGGCTAATATGTGAGTTCATTACCCATATGGTGAAACATAACCAGTGTCATGTATATGATATGTGCACATGTGCACTTATCACTTTTGCCTAGCAACCATTGTTTCTGTATTTCGTCGTCTGTGACGTCATTAAACAATTGAACGTGACGTCAATGAAGAGCGCCGTCACGCATGCTTACCGTGTTTTACTGCACAAATGTACGTGAATAAAAGGGATAATAAAGAAATTATTACACTCGTCAGTGTGGCATACGACTTATAAGAAACTCGTGCAAAATTATGTATCTAGCCCTCGCTCTCGCTCGGGCAATGCAAAATTTCACACTCGTTTCGTATAAGTTGTATGACACACTTGCTCGTTTAATAATCTCTATATTAACATATAAATGAGGGAATATGTAATTAGCGACATCATACATTGTTAGATGTTAAATACACAGCTGTTACAGAACTGAAATATTGATGATTCAGCAAGCCATTGATATACACTACTGTGATATCGTTTGGCTTACAGTGTCACCTGGATTAATTAACCTTCAACACGTTTGTCATCGAAATGAATACCGACGACTTGTGAGGATATATCAGTATTTAGTTTGTGAAGAAAATTACCAGTGTGAAGAAACGGAAAAATTATTCCACCACCGGAGACAGCACCACCATCAACAATAACGACGACAACAACAGGCTGTTTATTTCGCTATAAGGTAATACACACGACTATGTAGTGATATCTGCGGATTTACGTCTTATGGTAAAAGAGGTGGAGACAGCTGTGCCCAGTATATAAGAATTCAATTCTATTTCCGTGCAATTCATGTTATTCACATAGGGAAAGCTACAGAGGTTATTCCCATTAAAATTACCGTACTTCCTCTAATAAGTCCCGCGGGCGCGTTTTTTTTTTTTAACGGACTTTCAGACCCGGCGCTTATTAGAGGCCCGGCGCTTATTGGAGACCCGGCTCTTCTATCTTTCACTATCAATATAGCATACCTGTCATAGACATTACCAGGATCTAGTTTGGTCTGTAAACATTCATCGAGCACCGGATCCCATACATATTTATACACATGAAAACCCCTGATTGCAGCTTCGACGATTAAATACTTAAGAATTTCTTTTCTAAGATGCCAAATTTAATACTTTGTAAGGATAATTACAATTAATCTAAGGCAGAAAACAAACGACGGTGTCTGTGTCCTAAATTAAGAATCCTCGCACAGGGCTAAATGACGCGCTGTTCCATTGACGTGTTGAATCCATGATTTGATCCTTAGCAAAGTGTAGTATACATATGTGATTAACGTAAACCATATGGCGCAATATGAACGTCGCTTTTCTACTAGCAACTTAAGTTTAGATCAGTACATCCAGATGAAGCTGACTGGTCAAGCCACATTCCACGATTGCATTGTGGGAATGTAAACATTGCGAACGTTACCGTGTCGCTGTAAAATTGTGAGTCGAACTGAGACATTTTATCCTTCAGAAAACATAAACATACAGCCCATTAGAGGAAATACGGTAAGTTAACGTGTGCTCGTATCCCTAGTAAATATCGGATGACAATGTACGTACACTGTAATTTGCTGCCGGTTGAATGAT